GTTTAGACCAGAATGCCAGTTCTTATTCATATGTAAATCACCTTTTGCTATATTTATTCGATAGTTTATTAAATAAAACTGTCGAATAAGTAAAGTAAAAAGATGGTTTACATATGAATAAGAACTGGCATTCTGGTCTAAACCTTTCTGAATTAGCCCGATCGGAAAATCCCGAAGGGTGATTTTCCTAGCAAAGATCCCATATAGGCTAGGTGCTGCAAAAAGGGACGAAATTGACAATTTTTTCAAAAAATGTTTTTTTTTTACATAAATCAATTTAAAATAAGATTAGGATCGTTTTTCACTTAAGACACAAGAGTAGTTGTGTTAATAAAATTTTGCAATATAGCTTCTTAAAGTTTGTATTTTTTTATGATTTACTATAAGATTCACAACATAAAAATTAATTTTCTGAAGATTTTTGTTTTTGTCAATTTCGTCCCTTTTCGCAGCACCTAGCCCATATGATTTAGTATATAGTAGGATTCCGAAAATGAAAATGAATAAGAATAAAATAAAATACAATCTAAATTTTTGGAAAGTTTACCGAAATTTTCCGGAAGTATGGTATTTGCCAGCCGTTAGCTAGCCAGCCGACTAAAACCTTACGACTTAAATCACCTACGTCAATACGTACTACAAAAAAGTTGCAACTTCACAACTTCCGGTCGTAATTAATTAACTCAATGCACCTACACCACTAGTTCGGGTATAAACTCGGTAATACCCTTGTAGGGTGGGAGATATCCATCGTCATTCTGGAGGCTATCAATTGGTATCGGGATGGGCATGGTGCGACACCCAAAAATGTCTTATATAATTTATTTATGTGTAGTATTCTAAACATGATCGTGTAACCGTTAACGATTTTAAATTAAGATTATTCTAGAATCAACATCCAATTTTAGAATCGTCTGTACGTCGTACCCATTGTTTGTCCTTCGCAATATATTTTTTAGATTATTGATTTAGATTTCTGATTTAGATTTTTGATTATGAAAAAAATTTTTTTTATGTTCAAGATGGTATGCAATTAGACAATATTTAATGTTAAAAAAATAGTATTTGATTTTAAGCGTTTTAATTATTTTGTTATATGTATACTGTATACATATTTTATCACAAAATTCGATTATAATCAGAAAAACTCAAAACTGATGTTATATATCTAAATATGCATCTTTCGTAGTAAAATTATCTAAATGGCGCAATACAGATTTTAATCTATCAGAGCACCTCTGTAAGAGATATTTTTCAGAAAAGCAGATCTATTGATAGCGATAGATAATTGAGATACGCTAATGTTAAGTGTTGTGAAGATTGAAGTCATGATGTGATCAATTAAAAGTTTCTTACATAGTGATGAAGCCAATTTAAGAGTAAATGATGCAATAAGTATTTAGTAATAAATGCATATACTGTATATAAACCGGTTACTAAAAAATTTGATCTCCTTTTTTTCCCTGATAAAATAAAAAATTAAACGAAAAGTGTGCAAGAGTGGTAAAAGCTTATATCGGAGACAACCGAGAGAAGCTTTATCATAAATCCAAAATACGCATTAAAGAAGAGGGGTGTTTCGTTAAAATTAACATTAGGTTAAAGTCAGTATTGTATGTAATAAAAATATTCAATCGTTAACTTCGTTTCCGTTTAGAATTTTACCAAATACCCCGCGATCTTGATAATAGTAATCTAAAAATTATACTTTGAAAAAACCTGACACCTCACGTGGTGAGGTGCCAAGCTTTAAACTTGGTCGTTTTTAGCATTCGGGATTTTCGGAGGGAGGATCCGTATATGAATGATACATTTTTTATCGATCCTTTGATAATGTGATTCTAACTATTATCGTCATAATGATTACAGTCAGATTTCTCACGTTTTATGAATGCACTTGCTTTGCTTTCTTTACATGCTTATCTTCTTTAAGCTAGCTGATACGTAGTCTCAATGAAATTTGCAATATATAGAAAGCAATAATATCATGTATCGATTATAGGCAATATTCATATTGATATATTGTTATTTATTGCTGTATTGTGAGTTAGATCACTTCTTAATATAAATTATTTAAATTACTTTATTTACAATTTTAGAAATTAACAGTTTAATAATCTTAATTGCACTGCGTCTGTGAACCAGTTTTGAACAAGTTAACTTGTGATTTTACAAGTTAACCTGCTGACCTGTGATTTTTTACTTTCTTTCATTTTCTTTCATCCATATATATATGTAACTCGATCCAAAAAAAAAAAAAAGGAAAAAAAATCAAACTATCCGTTGCGTAAATGACAAAATATTCTACAATCAACACCGACGATGAGATCACACCTCAAGCCTCAAACAGCAATGAATTCGCATTAGAAGTAACGGATCAAACTCCTCTTCTCGAAAACCTTATTTCTACTGAACATGAAACTCAAATTAATTATGGAAGTGCTAGTCGATTTTCTTGTGCGGTATGTTAGACTGTAGATTGACGTCTGCAGTATTATACCGCGCAATTATGGTATAGGTTGATCTTATTTTACAGACGTGAAAAAGGTTTAGTTGGCTAAAAGTCTTTCTAATATTTAGGTTAATCTTGCTAATACCATCCTCGGAACCGGCATGCTGGCAATGGTAACTATTGTTTTTATTATTACGATTTTCTTGTTATAATTAATTCTTATGTATCTGTTTACAGCCAGCTGCTATAGCTTCGGTTGGTCTAATAATGGGCAGTATGATGATTTTCTTTGCCGCTTTCACTTCCGGCCTCGGCTTATTCTTCCTATCGCGCGCTGCTTCTTATACTAAGGGTCGAAATTCTTCATTTTTTGCCGTATCAAAATTAACCTATCCTAAAGCTGCTTTTTTCTTCGATACCGCAATTGCTATCAAGTGCTTTGGTGTCTCTATTTCTTATCTCATCATTATTGGTGACTTGATGCCTCAGGTAGTGATTGCAATACTAGGAAACGGTTATATTGATTCTCATTCTTTATTTCTGGATCGAAGATTTTGGATAACTGCGTCCATGGTTATAATCGTACCTTTAGCATTCCTGAAAAAATTGGACTCTTTAAGACATACGAGTTTAATTGCTTTAGTAGCTGTGGTCTACTTGATGTTTATTGTCATTTACCACTATTTTGGCCCTGACTTTGAAGCTCCTCCAAAGGACAAAATTCATTTGATCAATTTTTCGGGAAAATTTTTTACTAATTTACCAATTTTTGTATTCTCTTTCACTTGCCATCAAAATGTAAGTTTTTTTTTTTATTTTTACATTTTCTTTCATTTATTTATCTAATTCCTTATTATTATTATTATTATTATAGATTTTTTCAATATATAATGAATTGAAAAATAATGCTCAAAAACGTATCAATTCTGTAATATTTGTTTCCATCGGGACTTCTGCTGTTATTTATCAAATCATCGGAATATTAGGTTACTTGAGTTTTGGTGATGATGTTTGGCCTAACATCATTGCAATGTGTGCGTATTAACTTTTTCAATTTATATGATGTATATAATGAATACTCAATTAGTATCAAAATTTTTATTTTATTTATATTTTTCAGACCGTGCAAGTACAATCATCACAATTGGTCGATTAGCAATTGTTATCTTGGTAATTTTCTCCTATCCATTGCAAGCCCATCCCGCTCGTGCTTGTTTAGAAAAAGCTATCTATTCATTTCAATCTTTGACTTCAAAATCCTCTCCTCCTCCTTCTTCTTCGGAAGCAAGATATATATTCTTGACTATTGGGATCCTATTAAGTAGTTATACAATATCTATATTGGTTTCAAAATTAGACTTGGTAAGTTTCAGTAAATTGTCTACTGATTTTATTAGTTCTTTTATAATTTATCATTTTTATATGTTTAATATAAACTATTAGGTACTTGCTTTTGTCGGATCAACGGGTTCAACTGCTGTTTCATTCATTCTTCCTGGCATTTTTTATTACAAATATCATGAAGGTTCTTCATGGAATTATAGAAAAATACTTTCTTTACTCCTAGCAATTTATGGTTGCTTAGTAATGTGCATATGCTTGACAATGAATATATTACGTGTTATATATGGATATTAGATATATTTGCTCACTTGGCACAATAGACAATTTGGTTGATTTATAGAGTTATTACTATTGTAGTACACCTGTATTAAATGACTACTTTAAAAGTAGTTGTATTTTTTTGATTATATAGAAACTAAAGAATTTTTTATTATTGGCTAAATACATGTTTTAAGCTTTAGTTTTTATTATACAAAATTTACAACTTGAATTTTTTATAGCTAAACATTAATTCAATATATTATTCTTGTAAATTATAAAATAATAAATTTTTTTTTTTTTTTTTTAAATTTGGACAGTCATGTCACATGCCCGGCTTTATATTTATGTACTTTAATTATTCAGAAATAATTGACACAATGTCGTTTTTGACAAAACTGGAATGTGGCTCACCTGGTTACTTTTAGGTATCTAAGTACCACCAGCACCTATGTGCAACCTGCCAAAGATGAGTTCAACTTTCCCGGTTTGGTTCTTTCTATCTCAGAGACCCGCCCTGGATCACTGGCCTGGTTCACCAGCCCATCATGACCACCTTCTTTTCCAACCTTCTTCTTCTAGCCTCCTAGATAGAAGAATCTACCAATGAACAACAGAAAATTCAAGAAATTAAAAGGAAGTAAAAAAAGAAGAAAAACTAAACTATACAAAATTAAACAAGAACAAAATAGAAAAAAGAGAAAAGGAGAAAAAGGCCACAAAAAAGACAGCCATGACAACACTATTTTTGCCTGTGCCAGGCTACAAAGATTATATAATGTTGTATAGAAAACAATCTACTCTAACACTATATATAAAGATAAGGAAAGAAAAATAAAATAAATGAAAGGCAGCATCTATAATGTTAGAAATTTTGTGATGTGCCCCTTCTTTCAGACCATCTTCTACAGCAGTCCTTGCTTATTGGCCAAAGTCGGAGATTCTTCTTCATTAAATATATTCTGAATTAGAAAGAATCGGGTCACTATTAAAGCAATATTGCCACTAACAGTCTTTACGAAGGGGAAAAGGAATAACCAATTGTTGAACCTTAAAAATACTAAAAGAGCAAAAGAAAAAATGTACTATTATAATTTGTATAAGACTGGTAAAAATTATATTTTTTTTTATTGGTTAAGGAGACCTCTTTGGCCTGAAAGCTTTTATTAGGATTTGAAACAGTGTTTTATATGCA